ACAATGGTCTATCTTCTTCTAGCTTCCTGTAACAAAACCTGTAATTAGTGTACTAGATCTGTCAAAAAATTGGTGATTGACTCTTTGAATAACTTTTTTAGTGCACCACCACGAGCAGCGGGGAGCAACTGGCACACACACTCAACACTTATCTGGTGGCTAAACTGTGCTGCAGTCAGACTAGCGCGAGGGTGAAATGGCGGAGCCCGAAAAGAAAAAGAGTCGAAGGCTGTGCTCTTTTAAAGATGAGTGGCTACAACTCCCAGAATATCGGAACTGGCTTATAAAGGCAAGTGAAGACTCGGGATATTGTTCCATTTGCCGTGTTCAATTCACAGTTAAGTTTGATTCTGTAAAAGCTATTAAGCATCATGCAGAGACAAAAGGTCACAGAATCAAAGTACAAGGACAGGTATGGTCCAGTACTAACAATAAAGTCTCCATAAAGACTGATAACGCTGAAGAACAACACATATGCACAGCTGAGTTGCTTTTAATGTATCACGGAGTTAAACACCACCACAGCTACCGTTCTCAAGACTGTGGAAATAAACTGTACCCCTCCATTTTCCCTGACTCCAAGATAGCTTCCAAAATTCTCTGTGGAATGACAAAAGCAGAAGCTTTGATTGAGAATGTTTTAGCCCCCCATTCATTGAAACTGGCTGTGCAAGACATTGGATCAACACCTCTCTCAATAGTGACAGATGCGTCTAATAAAGGGAACACAATATTATTCCCAGTTGCCGTCCGCTACTTTAATAAAGATAAGGGAATCTGCATGTCTATCATAGACTTTTTCGAGGATGCAGACGAAACATCAGAGGCAATCGCAAAGAACTTAAGAAGTTGTCTTCAAAATTCCGGTCTGATACAGAATAAAATTGTGGCGTATGGAGCAGTCAATTTTGGAGAAAACAAGTCTGTTTTTCGGCACCTAAAACAAATGTTGGATTTACCAAACCTTGTGCCAGGGTATTGCAGTGCTCACATAGTACACAATACAGCGAAACATGGCTTGGAAATGCTCTCTTACGATGTAGAATGCTTGGTCATCAAGGTCTTCAGTGAATTCTCATCCAGTGCAAAGAATATCAGTGAACTTAAAGAATTCTTTGACTTTGTGGAGACAGAATATTCAGAAATCTTATACCAGCTACCTAAACGTTTTCTGACCCTTTTCACTGCCATAGACAGGTTACTGAAGAACTGGCCCGCACTCAAATCTTACTTTGTGAATAAAGGCAAGGAAGATGTGAGCTGCACAATATGGACCTTTCTTGCTGAGCAAGAGGACACTGTTTCTGATGATGAAACTATTACGCTTCCTGAACTGTACATCTACTTTGTGCACAACATTCTGAGCCAATTTAACAACACAATAAAGGTTCTTGAGAATGATTACATTCAGGTAACTGAACTGTATGCTACATTCAACAAGCTGAGAAGAGAGATTCAGAATCGACAAGAGAAAGGCTTCTATGGGTACAAAGTGACCCAGTTCTTGAAGAAGCTACCACTTAATGAGCAGAATAAATTTGTTGGCGATGCCCAACAGGCTTACACACGCATGCTGCAGTACCTGGAAAAGTGGTTTGATTTCAGCGAAAACTCTTTCTATAAGTTGTGTGCACCACTCAATCTGGACGAACCTCTTCAGCTAGACAAACTGTGTGCGTTGTCGACACACTTGAACATTCAAGTGGACATAGATGAATTATTTACAGAAATGTGCGTATTGAATGATGTGCTACCCATCCTAAAGAGTTCAATAAAGGACGCTGAAGCGACACAGTGCCAGCAGCACCATCTAATCAAGGTCTCTGAGGTGTGGGTAGAACTCTTTAAGTGCTGCGAGGCCCCAAACTTGCTCAGAATTGTGCAGCACGTGTTTGCTGTTCCACCCGGCAACGGCTTTGTGGAACACATTTTCAGCGTTATGAAGAGCTTGTGGGCTGACGAAAGGAATCGGCTCCAAGTGGACACAGTGAAAGCTGAGCTATTCATGCACTTCAACTATCAAATGACATGTGCCGAGTTTGCGGGATTTTTGCAGACAGGAGCAGCTAAGGAGCTTGTGACAGCGGCAACAAATGATCAGAAGTTTCAATTGCCACTTACACCGCCCTGTCTGGGCTAGACTACACGCTGCTAGAATACAACAGCATTATAGTCATATTTTGTTATCCTAAAAAAAGTTAAACCCTTAAGTACACAATATAGAGTTAGAATATGAATTAGTAGAGAATATTTGAGGTTGCTTTAACTTCATTACTTGTGGGCCAGGCAGACACAGAGCTGGCCTACAACAAAGGTGACTTTAACCCCCTCGCTGTCCTGTTCGTGCCTCAAGTGGAGAAATAAATGCACAGAGAATTGAGGCCTGTATGTTTGCATTGTTCTACATAAATATCGTTACCTATACAATAGAAGTTCTTTGTGGCTGCGCTAGGGAGTTTCTTGCCCTGTTCTTGTTATATTTTTGTTTTACTTCTGAGGAATAAAGATGATACAAAGTTTGTATGAAATGATTACGCAGTATCTGGTGACATGTCCAAAAATGTAAAACTTTGCACCTAGCTGTATATTAAAGTGCACACAAAAAAGCCCACCCAGTTTTCAGAGGTTTCGTGGGCGCTCAGCCCCACAGAAAGCCTATTTACCTTTATTCCGGTGTCCGATGGAGATGCCTCATCGTAGGCAGTGAGGTTTGAAAGGTTTTACCGAGGTCCTTCAGACTTGAGAAGTGATTAGGTTTCAATATACCTTTATCAATTCTGGTCTTTTTTTTGTTATGCCTGGAACCATTGTAATTAAACATCTTCCTTGGGTTTATGCAAATACCAGGGCACAGATCCGATCAAATCAAACAACATCTCCCCATCACGTTGCACTTTCCTACCTATCGGGAGTGATGGAGCTGGCGACTTGGATCCAGTCTTGCAGCGAGTTAGACCACTAGTGCCAGTGGGATTCTTCACACTTCACAGCACCGAGCCCAGCTGGCACAGTTCCAATGTTTGTGTTCATTTCTAGTTTACAATATCTGCACTTACGCGTTTAGCACCTCCCTGCGATCCAAGAGGGCGGGCCCCAGGTAGCCTGGCCACTTTTGTAATGGACGTTGTTCCACGCATCTTTGAAACAGCAGCAGATTGGGATATCATGTTGGGGTTTTTTGCTGATTAAAGTCAATGTGATTCATCAACCTGCAGGAAGATGTTAGTCTTGAAAGGATTGGATGATAAAACAATTTTCATGGGCAAGGCTGTTGTTCCCCTGTAGTATCTAAGCTCTTTGTGAAGAATAATGAGCTTATCTTCACCAAACTCCTGTGAAATAGGGAATCATTGATTTCCACTTTACAGATGAGGAGCTGAGGCACAAACAGGTAAGTTGCCTGACCTTGATCACGCAGGAATTACCTGGCAGAGTTGTGAAATGTGCCAGGTGATCCTTAGTTCCAGTCCAGTGCTCTGTTACTGGAGGGATAGCCATGTGTGACGGTGCTGCCCGTGGGAGCCAGCTGAGGTCACTCATTAGGGTGAACGGCAAACAAAACGGGGCAGACAAACCCCAGATGCTGGTGGATATTCCAATACTTAGATTTACCAGCCAGCATAAAACAGCTTCTGTGTTACCTCACTGGTTACTTAGAGTCCAACCATCGCAGTTCCCTTGAAGTGCCCAGCCTCAGGCCTCTGTCCAGACACACACGTCAGATATGATGCTGATTACTGAAAATCTGATCTCATCATAGAAAAGAAAAGGTTCTTCCAATCCCAAAGGATCAGCCACACACCCAGGTCCAATTATAACTTAGATCTTACCCAAAATACACGCTTAGAGCCAATTCTTATTAACTAAACTAAACTTTATTAAAAAAGAAAGAGAGCGAGTGTTGGTTAAAAGATCAATATACAGACAGACTTGAATTCAATTCTTGAGGTTCAGATACATAGCAGAGATGAGCTTGTAGTTGCCAAAAGTCCTTTTAGAAATAGTCCATAGGTTATAGTCCAATGTCCATATTCAGGGTGGCTCCAGTCAGTGACTGGGGATCTCAATCCTTGTGGCTTAAGGTTTCCCCCTCTGGAAACCCAAAGTAGATCTGAGATGAAGCAGGATCGTGTCCCAGGGTTCTTATACATTTCCAGCAGCCTTTTGGCCTTAGACAACAATAGGCTTAATTCTCCTTCTCTCAAATATCCTGGCAATTAGCACAGGGTAATTTATCCATTAAACAGTTCAGATCCAGGTTACCATAACCTTCAAAGAGACACACAGACAATAATACTATTTCCCTCAAGTATCATCATGTTAATATTCCTTTTTTGATCTTTGAATCAAAGCTGTAGCAATAGACAAGACTTGTTTACTTATGTCACAAGACCTGAGCAAACACCTCCCCTTCTACCTCTAACAATGCAGACTTGCATTTCAAAGCTCTATTCATCTACTGATCTTCCTAACCAGTCTCTAAAGTTCGGCCATGGGTCAGGTCAGTCTGTGAAGTAATTAACTCTTTCTGGCCGTCACCTTTCAATGAGATATTATATTCTACTCATAACGTCACACCGTGTTAGTCTGGATCTGTAAAAAGCAACAAAGAGTCCCGTGACACCTCCAATACATCTGTTAGTCTGTAAGGTGCCACAGGACTCTTTGGTGCTGTTGCTAACTGTTACTGTTAGGTGATGCTGATTGTACTAGCATATGCATCCGAAGAAGTGGACTGTAGTCCACGAAAGCTTATGCTCTAATAAATTTGTTAGTCTCTAAGGTGCCACAAGTCCTCCTGTTCTTCTTTTTTGCTGGTTGTCACCCTCT